TTTACTGTCCATCGTCGAGGATTTCCTGACCAGAATCTTCTCCCAGCTCCAAGAAGCCCACGAGGAGAAGAACGAACTGGAGTATGCCCTGAGATGGGTGCCCTCCTCAGCTGCTCTCTGTCCATCTGTGTGAAAAACAGGAATGCAAATGGCGCTTTCTCTTATATTCTGTAAGAGTGGGAGCCAGAGTGGGAGGCCCCATTGCTGTCATAATGTGTGTGTGTGTTTGTATCTATATCTATATCTATATCTATCTATATCTATATAATCTATATCTAATCTATATCTATATCTATATCTATAAGCCCTTGCTCACATTTGTTAGGCCCTCACCATATGCTAGGCGCTATTCTAAATGCTTTATATACACTAGCTCATTTAGATTTATTTTATTTTACTTTTTAATTAATTTATTTTTTAATTCTCACCCAAGGATATGTGTGTGTTTTTAAAATTTATTTTAGAAAGAGAGAAGAAGAGAGAGAGAAAAAAAAGAAAGGGAGAGAGAGAAAGAGAGAGAGAGAGAGAGAGAAACATGATTAGATGCTGCCCATATGCGCCCCAACTGGGGAATGAACCCACAGCCTTTTGGTGCACAGGACGATGCTCCAACCAACTGAGTCACCCGGTGAGGGCTCATTTCGATTTATTTTTATTCACATCACAGATGAAGAAATCAAGGGACTGAAAGGTTAAGTAACAAGCCCCAGAATACACATCTTGTAAGTGGCAGAGCTGGGGTTCAGAGGGAGACAGCCTGGCACTGAGACTAGTTGGAAAACCACTCTACCTACTCTGGACAGGAAGGCTCCAGCGTACTGAACCTACCCTCCCAACTCTGAACTGGCCCTTGGTTCACTGAATTCCCCCTTCTGATCACACTCTGCCATCATAGCTCGTGTCTCTCCTGCTGCCCTCTTTGCCCTCAGGGCCTCTCCAGGTAACTAGCAATTTCTAGGATTCCTGGAGGAGGCAGGACCAGGCCAGTGAACACCAACACCTGAAGAGGCTGCTTAGGAGTCAAATGAAATTCAGCCAGGCACCTGTTAGCCACAGATGCAGGACCAACCTATTCACCTGTAGTAAGGGAATGAGTGTGCCATTTGGGTGCTGTGCTTGTACACAGCCATTGCATGTATATTACAGCAGTGAGCTCGTGCGCTGTGAAACATAGTGTAACTACGGATGATGCATAATCCTGAATGTGCAGCCAAAATGCATGGCTGCATTTGGGTAGCGCTCAGAAGCATGCAGAGGTGGCCCTCCTCCATGCCTCAGCCACAGACTCGTCCCCACCTGGAGACCCACCTATATTCCATAGGAATCCTCAGCAATTCCAACATAGACCACACCCCCAACCATGCAGATACTTCCCCATAAGCTTCCTGGTGCCCAGCACAGCCTCCTGAGGGCAGTGTTTCAGAGTCTGTGTGGACATGGCGTTAGTGAAAGCTCGCAAGCCCCTAATTAAAAAAGAGATCACCTTGTGTCTTACTGTGCAGGTCAGCTGCCATATATTACCCGAGCTCTGTGCCCCCGCCCCTCACATTAGCTCTAAAGATAACTTGTCAAGGTCCACTGGTACACATAGGACCTTTAGGACCCTGAGTTATGAGAAAGTTGTGACCAACTAGTGTTGGGAGGACCTGGTTTGACTGAGCAATGTCATGAGCCTTCTGGGGAGAGGCCCCCAAGACTCAGAGAAAGGAGGGTTGGGGATACATTTCCATATAGTCTGTAGCTGATTAACCCATGAGCCAGACATATCTGAGTTTGAACATTGGCTCTGCCACTTACTAGCTGTGTGAGTTAGGCAAGTTACTTAAACTCTCCAAATCTCAGCTTCCTTATCTATAAAACTAGAGGCCCAGTGCACGGATTTGTGCACCAGTAGGGTCCCTTGGACTGGCCTGCGCCCTCTCGCAATCTGGGACCCCTCAGGGGATATCGGAGAGCCGGTTTTGGCCTGATAACCCCAGGCCAGGCTGAGGGACCCCACCAGTGTACGAATCTGTGCACCAGGCCTCTAGTATGCATATAAGATCTTTGGTTAATCTCTTCCTGCCCTCCCCTCTACCCACTACTCTCTGAGATTAATCAGTCTGTTTCATGTTTCCATGCCTGTGCATTGAGCATTTGCCCCCTGGTGGTCAGTGTGCATCATAGCTATCAGTTGAATGGTCAAACGGTCTAACAGTCGCTTAGGCTTTTATATATATACTAGAGGCCTGGTGCACGAATTCGTGCATGGGTGGGGTCCCTCTGGGTGGTCTGCAGGGATCGGGCTGAAACCCACAGTCCAACGCCGCCTGCAGCGCCTACCTGCTGCTCCCGCTCATCCCGGCCCCACTGCCACAGCAGCGCTTGCCAGCCATGAGCCCTGCATCTGGCGCCTTCCCAAGGGGAGTGGCCTGCGGGATCAGGCTGAAACTGGCTCTCTGACATCTCCTGAGGGGTCCTGGATTTCGAGAGGGCTCAGGCCAGGCTGAGGGACCCCACCAGTGTACGAATCTGTGCACCAGGCCTCTAGTATGCATATAAGATCTTTGGTTAATCTCTTCCTGCCCTCCCCTCTACCCACTACTCTCTGAGATTAATCAGTCTGTTTCATGTTTCCATGCCTGTGCATTGAGCATTTGCCCCCTGGTGGTCAGTGTGCATCATAGCTATCAGTTGAATGGTCAAACGGTCTAACAGTCGCTTAGGCTTTTATATATATACTAGAGGCCTGGTGCACGAATTCGTGCATGGGTGGGGTCCCTCTGGGTGGTCTGCAGGGATCGGGCTGAAACCCACAGTCCAACGCCGCCTGCAGCGCCTACCTGCTGCTCCCGCTCATCCCGGCCCCACTGCCACAGCAGCGCTTGCCAGCCATGAGCCCTGCATCTGGCGCCTTCCCAAGGGGAGTGGCCTGCGGGATCAGGCTGAAACTGGCTCTCTGACATCTCCTGAGGGGTCCTGGATTTCGAGAGGGCTCAGGCCAGGCTGAGGGACCCCACCAGTGTACGAATCTGTGCACCAGGCCTCTAGTATGCATATAAGATCTTTGGTTAATCTCTTCCTGCCCTCCCCTCTACCCACTACTCTCTGAGATTAATCAGTCTGTTTCATGTTTCCATGCCTGTGCATTGAGCATTTGCCCCCTGGTGGTCAGTGTGCATCATAGCTATCAGTTGAATGGTCAAACGGTCTAACAGTCGCTTAGGCTTTTATATATATACTAGAGGCCTGGTGCACGAATTCGTGCATGGGTGGGGTCCCTCTGGGTGGTCTGCAGGGATCGGGCTGAAACCCACAGTCCAACGCCGCCTGCAGCGCCTACCTGCTGCTCCCGCTCATCCCGGCCCCACTGCCACAGCAGCGCTTGCCAGCCATGAGCCCTGCATCTGGCGCCTTCCCAAGGGGAGTGGCCTGCGGGATCAGGCTGAAACTGGCTCTCTGACATCTCCTGAGGGGTCCTGGATTTCGAGAGGGCTCAGGCCAGGCTGAGGGACCCCACCA